CAGACTAAACAGTCCCAGTTCCCTCAACCGCTCCTCATAAGACCTGTGCTCCAGGCCCTTCACCAGCTTCGTTGCCCTTCTCATGAATGGATGAAAAGTGTTCTTGTGTCGATATTGATTGTTATAGGACTGTGATAATTTTTTACGGCTTGTTAGCTTTAAGTCTGAATTAAACATAATTCTTATTGATGTTATTTTTACTATAAAGTTGACAATTTCTTCTATCCTTTTCAGAAGTGTTTGTAGTACAAGAAGGAATGCAGTGGAGCTTTTAAGTTACGTGTCTGGACAGAAGCTTTGTAAGGCTTTTGAAGTCTTAGAGAATTAAGGGGCATTCACACTGTCAAACGGTGACACTTGTTTATGACCTTCACCAGGTCCCAGAAGTATTATCGCTTGGGTCTAAATTTCTAGTGGTACACGGAAGGTACTGATGAATTAGCTGGTTATCGAAAGTGACTTTGCGTGCACTGGAAAGTTAATGAGGGTAGCAATGATATTTTAAATCCTGAACTTTAAAGAAAACCAACTCTATAAAAATTCCTGTATAAGTGGTTAAGTTATAAGAGATCAGAATAACACATGGAATGTGCACTTGTTCATCTTCTGAACAAGTGTAAACAACAAAATACTGACTGGAATATAAGCAGGAAAATGCTGACAGGAATATTAGCTAAAATAGATTAAGGACCTAAGTAATTATATTAATATAATATTTAAGAAAGCAATGTTCATAGCAAAATATCTGTGCAAGACTATGATTTAATTTTTGTGCCTATGCATCTTATGAAAGTGGAACTGAAGCGGTATTTTAAAACTTCTATAAACGTTGAATTCTGTACTAAGGAAAATAGTTAAAAATTCATTATGGCATGCAGTGGTAGTGTCTACTGTTTTTGTTACTGTTCTACACAGCTAGTTTTGAGAGCTTGCTGTAATCCTGATTAAACAAAGAAGCTCCAAATCAGATTATACGTCTGGTAGCAATTAGGTGGAACAGTTACCATCCGGGGACATAGTATTTCCACTGGAAAAAGAAAAAAAACACATTCTGTGGTATAATTAAGCTACAGTTAGATGTAATCCTCCTGTCTCTTCATAAACTATTCACACACATTTATAATCATTGCATTGCCCTTTTTCCAACATGTTGAAATGAAGAATGCCTCATGGATGACAAAACTCCTTCAGACTTGTTTTATTGAGTGTTGTGAAAGAAACTGTGGAACTATTTTCATTGTGATGTCTGAATAGAAAAAATACGGGAGAATCTAGCACAAAGAGGATCATCTTGACCAAATGATTGAACAAAAGCAAGAATTAATGCCAGGAGATAGGTAATAAATAGTCTCAGAAGGTGAATGGTAGAAGCTCCATTTTAACATATTTAAAAATTATATCACTAAAGAATTTAGTTTGGAGGATAACCGTACACTGATAAGAAGATAGATTAGATGACCTATGTTCCCCACCCACGCTTTTATTATATGTGGTTCTGTAAGTCTCTTGAGCAATCTAAGTAAACAGAAAATTATATAAATGAAATATTTAAAAGGTAAATAAAGTTCAAAAATAATATAAGAGTTCTTGCTGAATGAGGTGTTAGACACTCTGCTCTGAACAATGGCTACCTGAGGTGAACCTGGTCTGGTGATTAACATTAGCTGAGATTAACCAAATGGATTATGATGTTTTTTCTAGCTGAGCGCACTTGGAATAAGACTAAGGATGTTTGCTTCGTATGGCATAGACAATCACATGTACAATTTATAAGTCTCTGAAAACAAGCTAACTACTCTTTTATTTACATAGGATGTGACTGTGGGTGAGTATGATGAAATGATATGCAATACTTACCAGCTATATGGCATTAGATATATTCTTATATATTTAGAACAAAGTGTTCCACATAGTGTCTTTATAAAATTTAGCAGCTTTGTGCATAAAATTTGTATGAGTGGTTTTGTTTATGAGAATGAAAGCAAATGGTTTCAATTCTGAATTCTGTTTGATTTTCTTGCAGAATAAAATTCTTAACATTGTAACTGCCAAAATATCTTAATAGACATTCTGTAATATCAGCTATTTCTTAATTTTAAAATAAAATCATTTAAGTATGAATATAGATACTATGTTTAAGATGAAATGATGCTATTACAGTGTGATCACCTGTACTATGTAGTATTCTACAATATGTTGATTATTCATTTGTTGAAATGTTTGCTATTTGTAAGATGCAATTATAAGGTATCTGAAAGATGCATAAGCAATTTCCACTATTAAAATTAATACTAGAAAGTATTCATATATGGTGTGCTATGCAACCATCACTTCTTTCGTACATGGTGTTCTATGCAACTATCATTTCTCTGCCAAAACTATCTGTTTTATCATTCATTTTATGTTTTGTTAAGGAAAACTTCTTTTTCTTAGTTACTCTTGTGAATTGAAATTATTTCATGTTTATAATGAAAATTGTCTTTTTTCTTTATATGTGTATTCTCTCTTTGTTTGTTTTGGATTTCGTTACTTCCACAGTGTCAAGACTCAGTATAATAATCTTTATGTGAAATGTATTGTATTTCTCTTCCAAATGTTGATGCTTACATAAGTGAATGTTTTACACAAGTACAAATATCTAGAACAACTTCTGAGAGGCTAATTCGAAAGCTATTATTATCAGTAGTCTCATGAGAAAATCCACCTATTTTATCTCTTGTAAGAGTGAATAGTCATACAGATAGATGAAATTCCACTCCATTTTCATAAAGGGTGAGTAGTCATAGTACAGAGTAGCTGAGGAGCTATGTCTGTTCATTTCTGTCTCTGGCCATTATTGATGATGACAACTTAACAGTTTTCTCCCCTTCCCCAGAGATCCTGGACTGGACTCTGTTAGTGAGCTCAAGTCTTCTTGGCCAGTTAACACAACATTCAGTTTACTCAAGAACTTTACTACTGTCATGGCTGCTTTTATTGGAGTAGAACATTTGCTCTGCAAAGAGAGTAGGAAAGTTGGTGTTGCAGCTAGCAATAAAAATGCCCCTATGGATTTCCTCTAGAAATATCAGTATAAACAGAATGATGCATGAAGCATAAAATGGCTGGTTCAAATTGTGTCCCTAGTCTTAACTCACCTGTCAACCTCTCAGTTTAGAGGTGTAATGAAAATTTAGGGAGCTAATGAATAGATGTGTCAAAAAAGATGAGCAACTATAGCTCTCAGTGGTTTCAGTTGAAATGGAGCTCCTTCCTACCACAGAAAGTAAGCCACTTCACTAGCCATCATGGACAGGGTTGTATAAGTTGCTGCAGCCAAGCCTGAAAATTTCTTCCTGCATATTTCTTAATTAAATACTTACAGTTGTTTGTTTGGTTTTTTTTTTTTTTAATTTTTTATTTTTATTTCTTTTTTAAATGAAATTGTGATTACCTAAATCAATCTTTGTGTACATCATTCTAGTGCAGACCTGTTTGGTTATTTTTCACTTTTAGTACTTAGAATGAGTACAATTTACAGCATAAATAATGTATTTAAAAGAGACTTTTCTTCCTGTGCTCTGATCATTGTTCAAAATAACAAACATTTTAAAAGTTATTAACTCTTAGTGAAGGCAAAACTCCCAAGCTGAAAACAGTGCATTATTGGAAAAGCTGTAAGAACACAGTAAGATAAAATTTTGTAATATCTGACTTTATTTGAACGTTGACTGTCTTGAAAAATAGCAGCATTTTCTTATCAGTTTCAGAACTGATGTATGTAGTAGTAAAATAGTCAAAATATTGTTTTCCATAGCTTGATTAAGAAAAGTATGTAGTAGCCAGAAGAGATTGTTCCATTAGTCAGTATAGCAGCTACATCAAGGTGACATTGTCAAAGAATTTAATTTCTATTATTTTGATACAAACATATTCCCTGAGACTGCTATACAGCTTTTCAGTAGAACTCTACTAAAACTGCTTCCTTGAGGCTGATTAGTTGACTAGCCACTTCTACCCTGTGTAGTCAAAGCAGGGTAGTTCCAGCCAAAGCAAAGCCAATCATTAAGATAAAGCAATCTTATTCATTTAAAGGGTTGTCATTACAGTATCTGTATGTTGATTGGATTCAAATGGAAAGACTGTAGTGAGGGTGCTCTATTTTCAAGCATGATGACTATCGATATAGTTGTCAGAAATAATCTGTTTTTTAAAAGACTGGTATTTACATGTTTCAATTTAAAGGCTACTTCTACTGAAGAATACCTGAAATTTTTGTGTCCGTATAAAGGATTTAAAGACTTTTCTCTTACTGAAAAAAGTCTTATTTGATCAGTAGTTTTTCCCCCAGTATAAATGCAAATATTGTAGTGGTTTATGTATCATGAAATATAAAACTTATAATAGAAAAGCAAATGATCTGTCAATTTATGATGCAACTTAACTCTAAAACATGTTTTGTGCCTTATTCTGGTATAGTTTACAGTGTAGTAAATCAGGAACCTTTTCTCTGACTCCAATATACTCCCTGGTATAAAACTATTATATGAGATCAGAATGAATTGTATTGTTTTTCAGTTTTGTTATTTTGGACTGAATATGGCTCATGCCTAGGCACAAATTTCTCCCTCCTAATATGGATTTTGCTAAATATGAAATATTGTCATTAGCTTCATCCTCAAGAAAGAAAACATCTGATTATTATTCTGGACTGACAAAGTACCTTCTTCTAAGGAAAGGTCTCTTGTACCAAAATCATAAGAGATTTGAAATTGCATTGGAGAGTTTTGGGAATATTTGCAAGTAGAGCTATGCTAACTTAATCCAACAGTACTGGAGTCTTTGTGGAATTTAGATATAACAGCTTGGATCCATTTAAATCCAATGATTTTTGGCACAACTTGCTGCTGTTGGTTTCTTATAAATTCTCTTTCTGCACCTTTCAAAATGAAGATGATATTATTACTAGTCATAAGAAAAAAATTACATCCATGTCCTCTTTCTTCCAGACTGCTGTCAAAATGAGTGAAACACCTTCAACTAGTTACTCGGTGAATCAGCCAAACTCCTCCGAGAGTGAACAGAGTTTATCCACGCGCCATTTCAATGTTACTGAACCTGTTGTGGCAAAACGGATCTGTTTCTATAAAAGTGGAGATCCTCAGTTTAATGGGATCAAGATGGTCATTAATAACCGATCTTACAAAACATTTGATGCCTTGCTGGATAGTTTATCCAAACGGGTCCCATTACCTTTTGGAGTAAGGAATATTAGTACACCAAAAGGGAGACACAGCATCACCAATTTGGAGGATCTTGAAGATGGAAAATCTTATATTTGCTCCCATCAGAGGAAAATGAAGCCCATCAACCTGGAACAGGCTAGCAAAAAGCCGCTGCCCTGGCAGATCAGTAGGCCTATCAGCGCTCGTCGTCGAGCTGTGCAATTAGCAAGGGAGAATGAAGATGGATTTGGCCATCGAGAAAACAAAATAACAACTCCCAAAAAGATGCTTGTTTTCAAAAATGGGGATGTAAGACTCAGGCGCACCATAGTTCTGGGAAAGAAAAATACACAAACCTTTGAGGCCTTTCTGGATTATATGAGTGAGTTAATGCAATATCCAGTCGTGAAACTATATACCACTGATGGCAGAAAGGTGAGAATAAAGATGAATTCTGACAATTTTTCTATGATTGCTTCTAGATTATTTTTAATTAAAAAGGTCATTTTATCAATTATAAGCTTGGGACACTGGTCTGGTGTAAGATCTGATGTGCTGAATTTCAGCTGTTTCCTTTCTATGTCTTTTCCCCTTCAGAAAGGCTACTAGCTTGGAGGAAATATACTGGAATCTTGCAATCAGAGAGAAGCAAGTGAGAACATATTAGTTTTAAGTCATCATGAAAAAAACTCTTTTCTTTTTCTTACTCAGGCTTCTTTCAGGCATGCTCTCAATTCTAAATTTTTACCCATTTACACAGAAACTTCCTTTAGTCTTAATGCTTTTTTCTGTGATTTTTAATGTTTTAAAAATAGGGTAAGTAGCATCTAATAACCACACATATTTTATCATTACACACATGCAGAGTGGTTTGCCATTAATGACTTGGAACTATGACACCTGACTGTCTATTATAGTTTTCAAACCATGGACCAGGTTCTGTACCTCTAAACCCAGATGATGCAGCACTAATAATCCTGATTTTCATCTCACATGCTGTTTTATATAATTTTATCTCACTTAGTGTTTTATCTGTGTGTTGTTTAACCACAGAAAAGCACTTGTGATTATACCTAACAGGTATCTAGAAAGAGAATTCCATGCAGAGCTCCAAGGGTTCAAGTGTTTACCTTCCATTTGGTGAAATTCTGTATTAGGTTGGGAAACTGTCCATATCACCTGTAAGTCAGTGAAGTGCAGTTTGTAAACCTTATCTTACAATATATTTTGGAACATAAATTCAAAACTGTTAGACAAGGCTCTGAGCACCTTGATCCAGTCAGACCTGTTTTGAGCAGAGGGTTAGACCACAATGACCTCCAGAGGTCTTTTCCAAAGTATATTGTTCTGTGATTCTGTCCTGTTCCTCTGTGGCAGTACAGGTCAAGTACTTGTGGTGTATTCTGAATTTCCCCTTTCTTCCTCCAAATATGTGTTCATTTGTATACCTACCTCCAAATGCATATTCTTATTTCATGGCTATGAATAGTCCCTGTGCAACGATGAAACAAAATTACATATGCAAACACATACATGATACGAAAATTTTGATCTGGATCCAAGTTGCTTCTTGAAGTCTTTTTTAAATATATTTGTATAACAAGACATACCCTCACAGAGATAAGAATTGCCTTATAGGAATTGAAAAATTCATTCCGTGCTGCGATACATATTTAATAGCCTGCTGCAAACTAATGTAGAGACTAAGAAGTGAAGATATTAAAGCATGAAAGGGATAAATCTCTTACATTATGTTTTGTGGTTACTAAGGCAGAGAATTTAATGTTTCTTTTTTTTTTTCCAGGTTCCTAATCTTCAGGCCCTGATACTGTGCTCTGGAGCTGTAGTCGCAGCAGGGAGAGAGTCTTTTAAACCAAGCAATTATGATTCTCTTGGGTATTCACGGCCTGCTAAATTGCTTGGAATTGCAAATCGTGTGTACCCAAAAGCAAATGCTAAGTCAGAAAGTGAAAATAGTAAGTTCTTTGAATTAATTTGTATTTTATTAATTGTTTCATCTCTCTCAGCATAAGACATAAACCATGACAATCTTACTAGGATCTAGGATATTCAAAAAGGTCAGTTGAAACTGTTTGTATCTGCTCTGACTCCTCTATAAGTGTAAGAAAGATCAAAGTGTTAATGTTCTTTTTAAAATGTAAGTTTCAGCTAAGTACTCAGCATATTTTCTTTCAAACAGACTTATTTAGAACATGGATGCAAATCTATAAGTATATTTTATTTTAATGCACTTGATTGTCATTGTTATTAATTTTTTGGTGTCACAGTTAATAATGGCAATGGTAAAAGAGAAACCACAGGCTACTTCAGGCTCTTAACTGACTGAATTTCTTGAGCAAAACTTTTGTGCGGTTTTCAGAACTTACTTTAGCAAGTGGAGGTTTGACTTGTCATTGTCATGACTTTCACTTTTTCCCATGTCCCATGCTCTACATAAACAGGAAAAACATTATAGCACCCTTGCACTCACAAATTCATCATGTTTTTGAAGCTGCTTTTGTCTAAACAGAGTGTCATCCTGTCCTATATCCTGTGTGTTGTGGTCTAACCCCAGCTGGCAACTAAGCCCCACACAGCTGCCTGCTCACTCCCCCCTGGTGGGATGGGGGAGAGAATCGGCAGCGCAAATCAGAAGGGTAAAAGTCAGAAAACTCGTGGGTTGAGATAAGAACAGTTTAATAGGTAAAGCAAAAGCTGCGCACGCAAGCAAAGCAAAACAAGGAATTCATTCACTGCTTCCCATCGGCAGGCAGGTGTTCAGCCATCTCCAGGAAAGCAGGGCTCCATGATGCCTAACTGTTACTTGGGAAGACAAACGCCGTCACTCCAAATGTCCCCCCTTCCTTCTTCTTCCCCCAGCTTTATATGCTGAGCATGACGTCATACGGTGTGGGATATCCCTTTGGTCAGCTGGGGTCAGCTGTCCCAGCCGTGTCCCCTCCCAATTCCTTGTGCACCCCCAGCCTCCTCGCTGGTGGGGTGGTGTGAGAAGCAAAACAGGCCTTGACTCTGTGCAAGCACTGCTTAGCAATAACTAAAACATCTCTGTATTATCAAGACTGTTTTCAGCACAAATCTGAAACATAGCCCCATACTAGCTACTGTGAAGAAAATTAACTCTATCCCAGCCAAAACCAGCACACTTGATACGTGTTATTTGGAGAAGTTTGGGAAAAGACACACAAATATGTATTTTCCCTTTGATTACTCATGGAGTTGTGCCACTGACAAGGTCAGTAAGAGTGTGAAGTGGCCAGTGGATGATCAAGAACAGGAAGAGCTGTTGGAGAGAGGCCAGGCTAGCTGAATAGCCTGAGGTTGAGGGGAACAGAATGATGTGATACCAGAGCTTTAGGTCATGTGGGAATCCTCAGCATTAGAGCATCCTGTAGGGCAGAGGTACTTTCTAGGGGGAAACTTGTTTAATCCAGAGGTACATTGTACTCTTGATACAGCTGCATGCTGTACTGGAGAGCCCAGGGAACACTGTAATTGTTTCTGTATTGAGACTTTCCATGGTAATCTTGGTTGTGTTATGGAGCACATTGATACATAAGACACTTGGCTTCCATTTACTTGAAGGAGTTTCTTCCACATCCTTCCCAGTTTATTATGTCCCCACCAAACTATTCATTTTAGTTTTTCTCAACCTTCGTGTTCTTCGACTTGCACAGCTTGAGAGTTGTTTGCAGAGCACAACTAATAGTCAAGAGAGAATGAATAGGAACATTTTGGGAATGAAAGTTCTGCAGAAACAAAAAATCCTACCCAAATTTTTCTTTGAGCCAGAGACTGAGTCTTGCAGTGGTAGAAAATGTGAGTAGCTGAGAATCTGATAAGCTCCCTCTTCTAATCCTTAGTTAACAGCAATTACAGAAAGAGAGAGAAAAAAACCAATCCTCTTTTTGTCTTTAACCTGAGAAATTCAAAAGTAGCCTGTGTAGGAGACATAACTGATGATGTGAGAGCCTGAAAAATCAAATTTCAGGCACTTTGTTCCAATTTCATTTCCTGAGATAAAGAAGGTGAGATTTTTACTTTGGGAAGCATAAGGTCTGGTCTGTGTTAGAGCAGTTAGTATGAAATTTTATTTCAGTTCATGGTAAAACATATGCCTAGGAAACTTGCAAGGCACTCTGCCTGAAATTATAGACACGTACCTATAATAGTAATATGTTAACTGTGAAAGTCTTGATATGAGACCATTTGTGACTCACTTGAGAAAAAAAATGCTTAAATTCAAGCACTGTAGATAAGTTAATATTAGATGTGTTCAAATTCTTCTCTGCAAGTGAAACCTTTCTATTAAATGGTGGCTCCTGTATATTTAGGTATCAGTAGCAGTTGCAGGTGTCTTTGTGTGGGTGTACATGTACTGTTTCCCTCACACATGCAGAAGTTCTTGGAAGACAGCAAAACCTTATTTTTACTTCTTGTTCTTTTATCTCTCACCTCTTCAGTGACAACTGCTAGAGAGAAATGAGATATAATTTTTTTAAAAGCCAAGTTATTACAGAGTAATCAAAACATATTTTGGGAATATTTAATGTTTGTGTATGCAAATACATATTGGGCCATACTCAAAATTCTTTCAAGTCCGGAAGTATTCTCATTGGCTTTACTGAGTTTTGCGCCATCGTCTACAGTACTGTAGTATAAAATGTATCTCAGAATGTAATGATTTAAATTCAGATTTTATAAGAAGTTCAAGTACTTTAATGTTCACTTCTCTACAGAAGGTCAGTCCAGGGGATTGGATCTGAACCCTTTGTTCACGTGTCAGTGACACTGCTCACAGTAATTACTCATATGCTGTAGATTGTTGGATTAAGCCTAGGGAGATATATGTTCACCTTGACTGACACATTTTATCACTAACTCTAAGAACTGATAGAAAATTACATACTAATGATCGCTAAGGCATGAAGAAGAAGTAAAGTTGGTAGCTTGAAGCCCAAACAAACGAGGGCCTGTGAATCCCTTGAAAGGTTCAAGGCAACCTCAGCTCCCAACTAAGTATAAAATGAGAGCATTTAGTGCTTTTTTAGGCTTTGGAGCTTCAAATAAGACTGTAGCTCTGGTATTAGAAAGAACCTATTGCAAAATAATACTAAGTGGAAAAGTAGTTAAGTGCTTGATTCTTTATTAAAAAATTGGTTATATTTTTCTCTCTAACAACTTCTTAAAATGAACAGCAAGATTAGCCATGTTTTTCTCTTTACTTTCTAATACTCTGGTAAAATAAACACATTTCATTTTGTACTCATTTTTCTCCTTTCTTCTTTTCTCTTCCTTTGCTGCCTGTCTGCTGTCTCACCATCTGGATCCTTATGCATGATATTTGTCTGCTCTACTTTCCACCTACTGAATGAATTTGGGTTCTTTCAACGTAATTATTGGTAGTGAGAGCTGAAATGGGCTCAAGATCTCAGATATTCTCAGTTTCTTCTGATAAAGGGTCCAGCAATGATAGCAATTCAAATGGTAACAACTCAGATTCTTCCTATGTTCCTGACAGTCACAAAACTATAGGAGGAAATCAGTCAGTTACTGGTGAAGACTTATCCGTGGCACAGTATGAAGATGACATTGAGAAATCTGTTCACCTTAATCAAGATGGCAGTATCACAGTGGAAATGAAAGTTCGATTCAAAATTAAAGAGGAAGAAACCATTAAATGGACAACAACAGTAAGTCGTGCTGGCCTTTCTGATGACAAAAATACCACCATTTGCAATTCTGCAATGCATGCCGAAGACTGCTTATCCCATGTAAATGTATCAGAACGTATAAAACCAAAAGATGCTCCATTTTTGAAGAGCTACTATAAAGAAGAGGGAGACTCATTACAGCAATTCAATGCAGAAGTGTCAGACAAAGAATCAGAGTCTGATTTAAAAACTGCTGGTTATAATACCTGTAAGAAGAACAATTCTGCAGATCTAGACATAAGCAATGTACCTGAGGATAATATCAGGCCTCGCTTTTATAGGCCTCCCACCCCTGGGCCAAGGCGTGTTAGACAAAAGAAAGCAGTAGTTGAAAGTGTCACCTTGGTATCTGAGAAAGAGGTTCAGGAGAAGACAATAGGACAGTTTTCCTACAGTGAGGAAATACAGAATGGAGAAAATAAATCTGAGTATTGCATGGTAGCTCATTCAAGTAGGAAAAAAGCAAGTGTCAGTAATCCAAAGTTTAGTGAGATGAGTGACAATGATATATTAAAGCTTTCTTCAGAGAATATAAAAGAAGAAATGCTTTTTAAAGTAAGCCACAAAAACAATAATTTAATAGAAACCACAAAAAGGAAGACATTAGAAGTGCCTGATGAGGATGAATTGGTACAGAATATATTAGAGAAATCAGTTGTGGAACAAGGAACATATAATAGTTTAGTATCAACCTGCAAAGCTAACATCAGTGGTTTCATACCATCATCAAAAATTTACCAGGCAGCTTCAGCAGACCACATCCAGGAGTCATGTGATATTAAACAAATAAAAAGATCACTGAGTTCTTTCATTAGATATTCAGAATTATGTCAGTCAAAAGAAGAAACAAAATGCAAAGCTGCTGGTTTATTACCTGTTTCTCAAGATTCAGTGCATTCAGCCTCTCCTGGACATAGCCAGATGAAGATGATGGTACCTCCATGTAGTAAAGATCCTACTGAGAAAATAAATCCAACAACTGGATTTTTTCCTACTGTTACTGAAAGTGAGAATCAAATCTGTGTCAGGACTGAATCTGTGACAGCAACACATCTCATTGATGACAGCCAATCTGCATCTTCCCTCACCAAAAAGAAGAAGAAGAGAAAATCGCCTAACTTTCTAGAGCAAGGAACATATGAAAATCAAAAAGATAAAGAAATTTCAGGGATAATTAAAAGTGAGGGAATGCATATCACAAGCAAAGCCACACAGGATTCCACAACAGAGGCTATGGATAATTATTCTGGAATGCCTCAGAAAAAAGGAACAGAATTTTTTGTAAAAAACAATGACGGGTCTGTCAATTCGGATAAAAGCACATGTCCTGAAGATGAGTTCTATCACCAGGATTCAGTGGAACAAAATGGATTATCATCTAATAAAAAACCAAGAAGTAATAACAAGTTGGCCAAGGTAAAATTGAAGTCAGGCAAAAAAAAAGGTATCGTTTCATCTGCAAAGAGTGAAGATGGTCTAATGACAGTTGATTCAAACAATGAATCTGAACACAGTCAGGATACACTGAGTACTGAGAAAGAAGGCACACATCTCACAACCAATTCTTTCGAACAGACACCTAACTCATCAGTGATTTCAAAGCCATTGTCGGAAGTGCCAAAGAATCTTAACTTTGAAAAAGAAAAGGAAAAGAATATTTTGGAAAATTTGTCATCAAAGAAAGAGAAAAAGCAAAAGGGGATGAAGAAAAATCTAAGTAAAGGTGCAAATAAGTTAAATATGTCAGAGAGCACCATTACACTAGAGGCTCTAAAACAGGAGGATTTTCAAGAGGAGGTTGCTGAGCATTCACTTGAAAACTATGTCCAAACTTGGCTGAAAAACTTGTTACCAAATTCTGTCTTACCCCCTATAAATAAAAAAGAAGGGAATGTAGAGAATAGCAATGTCTGTCATTTTCCTAAAGAAAATACTGATGCTTCTATAGACAAAGAAACAAGATTTATCACAAATAAAGTGCATGTGACTGGAAAAAACCATCTGGCTGAACATAATCTAACCAAAAAAACATTAAAGCCTGTTTGTGAATTGGGAACTTTAGAAGAATCAGCCAAAGATTCAGGTGAAAAACAAACTGACTCTTTGATTCATGCTAATGCAACTATAGTAGAAGAAGCCAAATATTCACTAAAGTCAGAATTTCATCATGATGGTAAGCTACACTTGTTTCATGAAACATATGACAATGATAAAAAGATGTCAGAAGTTGATATTCAAGATACCAACCTATGTCAAAGAAAAAAATCTGAAGTTGCTGTTCAAGTTGATTGCACAATTGTCAATGAGAAAATGGGAATTGATGTTCAGAATAATTGCATGTCTAGCATGTTGCTACATGAACTACAATCAACTTTTCTTGGTCTCCAGAAAGAACATAATGGATGTATAGGAAACGCTTGCAGCCTTTCAGATCTTTCAGCTTTTGGTTCTTCCTCCAATGTCCTCCTAGCTTGGCTACTTGTACTGAATCTGAGAGAGAGTTTGATTGGGACAATCAAAGATGATATGCAAAAACCTAGCTGTAGCTGTTCTGAAATATTTACACAGTTACAATTTCTGAAACAAACTGCAGTCATAGAAAAAGTTGATGAACTGAAGGCTGCCTTCTCACATTTTCAACAATCAACAGAAAATAACTTACTACACTTTGGGACGGAACTGAAAAAGCAGAACTCCACACATTGCCATGAGAATATGCCCATATCTGAAATTCATAATGGTATACATTTGCATGAAAATGAAAAATCACTTGAGCCTTGTATTCCAAAGGACAATGTAAATTCTGAAGAAACTCCAAAATTGACTGGTGAATTAGAAAGCTGTTTTGATATACAGAAAGATCTTTGTAGAGAAACAGAGACTTTAGACTTGAGTGCTCCCAAAACACAGCTAGATGGTCAATATGCCAATACTAATTCAAATACCTGTAGCCTTGCATCACCTATAGAGTCACCTGAAAGAAACGTAGAAATGCCTGGTAGCCTACATAAAAAATCTCAAGATAAAAACGCTGACACATCATTCACTAATGAAGAGTCAGAAACTTCAGTAGAACCTAACTCGACAGTTCATAGTGTAACTTCTAATGATAAAAATTGTATTTTAGGTCAGGATACTTCTGACTTAGAAGGTGAAAAAGATATTATACATGTTACTACTGATAAAAGTGAAGATGAGAAAGTGGATCCAAAGTCAGCAGGTAATGACAAAAAAACAAATAACCAACTTAAACTAGCTGCTGAAACCTCTGTAGAATATAATAATGAGGATTATTCTGTACAGAACGACAAGGAAGATGCAGAAACTTGTGAGGAAACCTCTGAGAGGTTATCTACAGTTTCTCCATTATCATTTTGTTATGAATCAAAGCAAATTACAGAATGTGATACGAGCGAAGGAGAACAGAAATTGCAAGTAGAAGAACTAGAGAATAAAATGTGTTCAGACACTTCTCAATTAAAAAAATGCTTAAAAAGTCCTGCTACTTCAGACTGGTCAGATTACAGGCCAGATACTGAGGAGAGTGATTATAACTCTAGAGCATCCAGTGATTTGACCAATGAAAGCGGGGAGGAAGCAGTACTTGAAAAACATTATAATACTGGCTATGTAAAAAGAACTATTGAACGACTTTATGGCAAGACGGAAGCTTCCTTTAAGCCTGACTTTCACAAAGGTTTTCCTTATATGTCAAAAGTATTTCAAAAGGATATTGAAGAATTCCACTCTGCAGTGGTGGAAAAAAACATTTATTTTTCTCAAGAACCTAGGTCTTGTCCTGCAGAGAAATTGTCACATTCTTCACTACCATCACAAGAATTTCCAGTAAACATAAACAAAGACAACACTATATCGAGAGGAGAAAATACTTCTTTACCAACACCACAACCTACTCTTAACAGAGAAGAGACAAGTTATACTAATGACTGTTCAGGGGAGTCTCCAAAGCAACATTGTCAACCTAGCGTACGAGCTAGTGAAGATGAAGGAATATTGATAGATAAAGGCAAATGGCTTCTAAAAGAAAATCATTTGATAAGAAGATCACCACCTGAACGGATTGGAATGTATGGTAATCTGGATACAACATCAACAGACACAGTCCTTGATACTAACAGTGATGATGTTCCATACTCGCACTTTGGCAATCTGAATCAATACCCAGTCCTCAATGAAATCTCTTCTTCAGAACTTGAAGACATGGCTAAACCCTCTGAAAATTTTTGCAACTACTTCAACATACCTCATAACAGTGATTCAGACCCCTTTCAGGATGAGTTAAGTACAAAAAGAAAACCTAGCTGCAATGATAAGATCACTTCCCTTCCTGCAGCAAACAAAGAAAAGATCAAACCATCAGTCGTGGTAGGTTCTACTTCCACGCATCTTTCTACACAGGCTGATACCAATTTTCCAGCCTTTACATCTGTAGAATTTAGATTGCCTGATAACAAGGTGCATCCATTGGAACAGCCTTTAAATGATGAACCCATACAGTCTCAGCCAACTGATGTTAGTAATGCTAACAGAAGTGCTCTTCAGGAAGAAGATTCTCTGGATAAACTCCATGCTATATGTGGCCAACATTGTCCAATACTGATGGTAACAGTAACACCAGTTAATGAGGAACAGAGAGGATATGCCTACCAAAAGGCATCTGATATTGAGAACCAGCTGGGTCCATGTTTGTTGGCCAAAAAGAGTGAACATTTACAATGGTCAGGTGAAGATTTAATAACAGACAAAAATAATCATGTGACTCTGAAAAATAACTGTATCAATAAGATTGCAAATAATATTTTTAATAGGTTTTATGCTAATAACACATTAGATTTTATTAGTAACTTTGGAATACTTGGATCTTCAACTCTGAAAGACACAAGCAGTTTAGGGAGGTTACATGTTATAGAGGATATGAATGTAAAACCTGTGGAAGTCAGCAATTGTCAAAATAATGTATCCAAACACATACCCAATGATCTTGTGATGGGCACAAGTGAGCTACCCAATAGAAAGCCAAAAATATGCCAAACCCTAAGAATAAGCCTAATTCATATTGTTGGAGAAAAATTTTCTCCCGTGTTGGCAGATCCGGCAGAAACCTGTCCTTCTGAAACATTTCTGAAGTGTGACACTTCCTTAAATAACATTGAACATAATGCCTCTGAAAATCTGAAAAATGAAAATGCCTTTCCCACAGAAGTGGAAGAAGAAGAAGAAGTTTGCTTTTGTACAATGGACAATGGAAACAGTAAAGATGAGAAAGACTTGTAATAGAGATCTTGGAATTTCTATAACATTAGATTAGTGAAAAAATCTTCAGAAAAAAAAAATCACAAAATAATCTGCTGAATGCCACACTCAATAAAACTCACAATGTTAATACAAACCAGACCTAGATAATTATAAATCACAATTGTATATCATTGCTGAAATACAGAAAATTACTTAGATTTTTGTGGCAACCAACATAGGAAGAAAAGCCGGTCTTCTAAGACAGTGATTTCTTGGTAAAAAAACAGTTTTTCCCTGAAATGTTATCTGTTCAGATACTCAGTTATACACCAACCATCTCATTTGTAGAGAAACAACTACTGCTTGTTAGAACAGAGAACGGAAATTTGAAATACCCATCTGAGTTCTAAGATAAGATTCCTATATTTCATGACATTGGAGGAAGGGTTTGAGAAATATCTTTCCGTAGAAATGCTTTTCCCAGAACAAAATCAACTGATATATTTAATTTGAAATGAAAAGTAGGAAATACTATTCAAATGCTGTAATACAATGAAAAGTAGGAAACAGAAGTCATGTTAATTTTATATAGATTGACATTATAAGATTGCGATTTCAGTTTTTAAAGGCCAACTTCAGAATACTTATGAGTAAAGAAATCTTTCAGTCTGTATATAGGATCATGCAGACCCCAAATGAAGTTTCTCTTTTACCCAGAGAATACTAGAAAAGGAGCGTATTTATTGCCCCTGGGATTCCACAGGAACTGAGAAGAGAGACAGTGTGTCAATGGACTTCCTGATTGCCCTTGCCGTATTCCCTTCTAAGGCAGCACGGCTTACTCTTAAAATTGTTCTACATACACTACAAGTTTTAGTTGTGTGTTATTCTTTAACCTCTGTATTTTAAAGGTGGTCCATGTCTTTTTTGTTTGTTGTTTTTTTTTTTTTTTTGTAAATATGTTGTATTATGAGAATCCAAGGCACATGTAATATGTTTCAGGATCTTTCAATCTGTTATTGGAATTATTTTGCATACCTGTTTACAGCATTTTTTAATATTATGTGTGCGTAGTAAGCACTTATATATGGTTTACAATTTTCAGTAAATGATTTTAAATATAAAATTGGAAAATAATTAATGTATATTGTGATTAGGCAGAGTATTTCAGTTTTTTGGTTAGATTTTAATCCCCAAGACTGCATAGTACCTTGCTTCAATGTCAATGAAGTCAGAGATATACCTGAAGAAGGAAGGTGCTATTTTTCAGTTAGAGAATGAGAATTTGGCCATTCTGTACTCTTGGAAACTGTGTCTAGACTAACTGGTATGTACATCCTGCAGTAAGCCCTGGATCATGATCCTTTGGTTATCCAGACTGGGGACATAATTAAAGGCTGACACAAATCCCTTTTGGCCCAGAGGCTTTGATTGTCTCCCTGTGGGACGGAAAGCACATGGAGGGGAAGTAGAAGTTGGATCTGGAGCAAAAGGGGTTTGCAGTACAGGTAGGAAACCTAGAAGCACTCTTCAGTTCTTCTTAGGAGTCCAGTGGCAGATATATTTCCCCATTCTGTTGTTTGAAGCAGTGTATTCTATGTAATAAACTAACTTTACAACTCTAAAGCAACATATATCGTCTAATATATTTCACACCAAATAGCTGTGTGTTATTTCCTATGCTGGCCTTGTTTCTGATGTTCTTCCCTCCATCTCCACATTTTTTGGCATCCTCCTTCGCATGTTTTAGAACTGCTCCAAGTGAAGAGTCTCAATGGTATTTTTTCATCCTTTTACATGTCAATACAGAAATAAAACCTATGTTTGGAAAACGAAGCTCGAAATTACTACAATCCAACTAAAAGCCATCTAGCACTCTGCGTACCAGGCTTCTATGTTGTAAATAATGTCTAAATATTAGATAGGCAAATTAACAGCTACATATAAGTCTCCATCACTTGCCGTTTTTCTGCTGCATTCACTGCACCTTAACTTTTTCAGATCAAGGTTCAAGAACCTTTAATCAGATGCTTATTATAGGGTTACTGAGCAAACTAAGCACTCAAAAGGTGAGATGTGAGGTACTGCCTGAGGTTACAATTAGCAGAGACCACTGCCAGTGGTGAAATGATTCTTATATTAACTGAAAGACTTGCTTCTGATTTCAGTATGTTAGCTGAAAAAGGAGTAAAATGGTCACCTCACAGCAGGACAAAAGTTTGACAGTGAGATGTACCATACTGTCATAGGGTTTATATATTCATTAATGGCTCAGGGAAGGTATAGAATATTAAGTGGCCGAGATATGCGGATAAAATAAAATTGCTTTCATTAGGTAAGATTGGAGAAGGCTGAAGAGGGAACCTCACAATTCTGGTGACTAGAGCAACGTGCTGATTGACAAAGGGAAAAACACCATGAGGAGTAATATGCGCCACTTTATATAGATAGCTTAATTCTGCAAATTAAGTGCAAAAGGCATAGAGTCTTTCTGAATAAGAGATGATAAAATATACTTGGAAGTGACAAGCATATTAAATAATGTGTAAAGAACAGGATAGAAAACAATTCAGCAGGCATTCAAGGGCTTCATATAGATTATGCCATTCTTCTAGAAGGAATTTAGTTTTTGTCTTGCCATTATTAAAAAAGAAACAGCCAAACATAACACATAGATCACAGTCCCAGGAAGTTTCAGTTTATCTAGTTTAGCCCCCTGCTAGAAAGAAACCACACAATTAGGTAAGTATTCCATTTAATTACTAAATCTCATTTTAAAACTTGTTATCTATAGTCATTACCGCTTTCACTGGAGGGATGTTCTAGAGCTTGAGTCCTTCTTCTGATGTTTGTCTTAACTGTTTTCTAATTTTTATCCTAAGCTTAGTGATGGTTATTTTATATACATGTGTCCCAAAGCCATCATTGTCATTTACTTAGATATGCCTTTTTCCAGCTTGGTATCTATCAAAAAATCAGACATTCTCTCAACTTTTTCTCCTACATAAACATTTTCTCCATTTCCTCTAATCATCTTGGTTGTCTTCTCAGGTCCTTTTCTAGTTTCAGTAAAACTTTTTTTGAATATGATTACCAGAACTTTATGCAGTATTTAAAAAATTGTCTCTCTGAACTCTGGGACACTGACAGTAAAATTTCTCTACTTAGAAATCTCTCTCCTGGTGCATATTACAGTCACATCAATGACTCACTGTATTTTTTTTAAGTGATAAATTCCCTGTTCATAGCATTAAGTTTTGGTAGTATTTTTGAAATGCATTTCCTTGCACTTTATGCTGTTATATATTATCACTTTTCTACCACTATGGATTTTCTGATCCTCTTATACTTTGACAATTCTTAGTGACTGTGTTACAGTTGCCTACTATATACAGTATATTGATGAAAATATGAAATCCAGATAAATTCCAATGCTGATTCCTGAGAAACTTACTAGTATCCCTATAAATTAATACTTCTCATTTCTGCACAACCTTATAATTTCCCATTTAGCTACTTGTTTTGTTACTCTACAGTCTTGCACTAATCCACTTCTCCATTTTAGCTACTAATTTCTCATATAATGCTTGTATAGATTAGAGCTACTGTAATTTCCTTGTCTACAAAGATGAATTCTCATCATCATGGAGAAGATCAGGTACTTGAACAATGCAAGTCTGGATACCTTGTGCCATGTATCTGCAGCAAACTGATGCTGGCAATCTTTTTTTTTTCTGTTTAGCTGTATATATCTGGAGATAACTGTCCATTCATTTAAAATTTGTTCAAAAACATTACCTAGTGTTGCTTTGGTGTAAGATACATGGGTATTAGTCTCTCAGTGCACTATTCATCCTGTTCTGATTTTCCATTTTAAATTTCCCATTCCATAGGCCATTCTTGTTAACAGTGCTGACATATCCCAGTCACCGTCTGTCACCGTTCTTATTAAAAAAAAAGAGGCAGTTTTCAATTTATTGTAAAGGCATACTTAGTTTGTGTTCTTAAATTCAGCACATAGTGTACATAGTCCTTTGCTTATTCTTTTTAATGTGTATGGTTAAATAACCTTTTTACTAGTTTGTTTTATTTTCCATTGCTATACCTCACTTTTCAGTTCAATTGACTTTGTTAACCTCTTCCCTTAGTTTTGAAAATTTGCTATTTTTAAATCAAAGGCATTCTGGACTAATTTTACTGTGAACCAATATAAATATTGAGGAATTTTAAAAAATATTAATTGTACAAAAATCTTATTCAATAGCAGTCAAGACTAGCATTTCATCTAAATACAGTATTTTCTGGTTTTTTCTTTTTTTGTTTCAGCAATATCTCACAATTAAATTTTCAAACAGATGTCATTGCCAGTGCATGACAGGCTTATATACAAAACACTTATATAGTAAAGAATTTATTGGTATCTTTACTACCCTTGACCTGAAAAAAATGATCAAACAGATCTTCTACTGACTTTGCAGTGAATATTCACATATGGGTAGAGGTGAAGACTGGAGACTGTTAACTGGAAAGGCTCCAAGAGACTGAAAACAGTGTATTGGAGAAGAAGCCATTGAACACAGTGATCTATAGCAATCACTACTATTTCTAGTGTGATATATAGAAAGGTGGATGACATGGTTTTGCATATGTAAAAGTGTATGTAACATAAAACCTAATGAGAAATGACTGATTTCTCAGAAGTGTTAGGCTCCTCAGTTTGAGTGTATAGAAGAAATACTTGGTAATACTTATTGGTTTTCATTTCCAAAATGCATAAGGCATATTTCTCTTTACTTCTAAGGACCTTCTAAGGACGTCAGAAGAAAGCAAGACCATTTGATTGTTTAATTTATTGCTATTAAACAAGTTACATGACTTTTATAGCACTGATATTATCAAATATCATTAGTCTAATTACCATGTTAATCCACTGTAAGAATTAGGGGGACTATTTAAAGCAATTTTCTTACCTTAATAAACTAAATTAAGACAAGCGGTTAGGTATACCTACATAGAGTGACGTAGATGTATACATATGCTAGTTTCTCAGTTATGAGTGAGATTAACATGGAGGATCATATGGTCATGGTTCACAGAAAGTTGGAACAGACACTGCTTTGGATAGTGTAAAGAACCCCCTGTGTAACAGAAACAGCATGCTAACTTCAGCTGTGGAAAAAGCAGATTACAGTAAATTTTGAGAAGGGTCACACTGCTTTGTTGTTGGAAAATGTGATTCTGCCAGTTACTTCTCCTCCTCAGGTCTCACAGTTATTATTTTTTCCTTATTCTTTCAATTTAATGTGTTCAGGCTATGACAATTCTTGTAATGATGAAGTTTAACCTGTTGGTATGAGTAGCTGTTTGGCAATTTATTATTTAATAATGACAATATAATTACTCAGGAAGCATTGGTACTATAGCTGCACATTCACAGTAGTTTCAGAAAAGTGCTGCTTTAAGAGTATCTCTTTAAAATTGAGTAGTGGTGTATACTCCAAATTTCTCATTATAATAATATATTTAAGATGCCTGCTTGTCCTTTAAAATTTGCACACTTTCTACTCAGGACATGGACATTTTTCAAGCAAATAAGTAAATCTCAGAACACTGCTGTGGAATTTCAAAGTCTTGTGGTTTGTCCTCAAAGATGAACCAAGCATTATGTTAATGTCTCCCTGTCTCTCCCCTCAAAGTATGGGAGACAATATCTGTTTTAATAGTTACTGATTCTACAATAGTGCGTTTCCCTAGGAATGTGTGTTTTACACACAAAGCACAATGGCCACACAGAAGTAAAAAATTCCTCAATAGCTATAGCTCAACGGTTATAGCAAGATGCAAAGAAGACTTATAGATTCTACCATCAGATCTCATTAATATGTTAGATTTCATAATGTGCCTTTACTGTGCCTTGTTTTCTGCCTCTTATTAAAAGCAGTATTAATTATTCGGACATAACTGCTGAGTGGTGTGGAGGACATATATTCTTAACTCATTTATTTCCTAGATACAAAGATACTGACATGCACCACATCTAGGTCAGCCTAATTATCAATTTCTTAAATATCTCTTCTTTTTGGACATGGCTAAACATGAGCAAGTAAAAATATTAATCCTACCTTATTTTTTCCAGAATGCCACAGAAAACTAAATGTAAATTCCTCAAATCATTGGTTTTACTAGTCCTCAAATAATATTCTGCTGCAGCATAATTCTGTGTATGTATCATGATCAACGTCCACTGACTCCTTTAAGAAAATGCCCATGGCACTCACTGAAAATAGTGAGTGACATTCAAAACAAAAGCTGAACCTCACAACAGAACTGCAGGACAGCTTATTGCCTGGGGTTTAAGACACACAGATCAATTTTAAGTATCCCAAATAGTCAATAAACACAAAATTCATCATATCATGATAAGCTCACTCATCGTTGCTATATTATTTCTTAGTGTTTTAGCCAGAGCAGACAGGATTAAAGATACTGTAACGGAAGGAAAAGTCAGTAATACAGGTAAAACGTGTAGCAGAGATGAGTCATTAGATGATAGGGGGCTTCTGTAGTCAGTAAGACCCTTTATTACCGCTGCTGTACTTTAAAGGAAGTTCTCTATTAAGAAGCAGTGATATTAATCACTGGTGCAAAATGATCTTAGCAAGCTTGGGAGGTGCTTAAATGTGTACCATTTGCGATGGGTATGAGCTAATTAGAAACATTGGGTGTGAGGATGGTTTTTTAACATTCCTTCCTGTTATAAGCCATCCCTCAGTGATACCATTTCCCTTAATTCCGTGCCATTGATACTCAGCTTCCACTAAACCAAAACCTAAATCCATATACTTGGTCTTGATAATAATGAAATTTAACCGTGGAAAGAGTACTGGTATCTCAGTTATAATGCCAACACTGTGATGCAGGAATATGTTGGTAATCCTTCGGTAGATTCCAAACAAGCTGTTACCTCTGCGTAGCCCATCACACCTTTGCAGAGATACAGATCCTTTCTTAAAGAGGTCTCTTTCAGCAGAGCTGATTTGCTTTGAGAGACCCTAATGCTTGAAGTGATGAGTTTGTAATTCCAGAGCTAGTTTGCTGAGAGCCTGCACGGCTGTCATTACACAGCACTGCATTGGGCAGAGCTGATGTATCCTAAGTAAACAGAAAGCCATATTTAATACAGTTTAATACAATATTTCAAAACTGTTTGAAAAGTGATCTATGTTCATGCAAATTTGACTTTGTCATATGGCATATGCAGAGTAAAAGATGTGAATGCAACCTGATATTTCTTGATTTTTGCATGCCCAACATAGCAAACTCAGTATTTGCCTGCTGTAATTTTGTGAAATACTATTTCTGTATTCATTGACATGATATTATTTAGAATTTTGATTACTGAAATGCATTTTGCTTAAGAATGTTGAGTTTAAGTAATTCAGTGAGTCTTTTTATCTTTTGATAGCTAGGAAATGGAAGGTGTCAGTCTTCACCAGTGATATGCCATCTGCAGGAACAAGCTCAAAGGTTTATATTACATTGTATGGGGATCACAGCAGCTCGGGGCCTATTTTTCTTGATGGAGAGGAGGGAAAATTATTTCAGAGAGGCAATGAAGACATATTCACAGTAAGTAATATATATTCATTGTGTTGCCCTCTTGTATCCTGCCAGATTGCATGACATTTCAAAATCTATGTGATGAAAAGACAGTCAGTTTTTTGTATGGTACACATATTTGGAAACAAGGAACAGGACTTAATTGTAGAACTAAATTTAGTATCCTCTCCCACTCACCTATCCAAAGCTGATTGGATCCAACATATTTCTTGTCTGTTTAAGAAGAACTACGGGTTAATTTACATAGTGCCCAAGAAAATACCAAGAAATATAGGACAACAGATACTTGTTTAGTTTTTAAATTCGAAATGGGGCTACAATATTAAAAATGAAATGAGGAAGTGAAGAATTAGGGTATGGAGTAAATTTTTAACTTTGTTAAATACCTGCTGCTTTATTTAAATAATGGCATTTTTTAGATGTAATATACATATATGTATATGTATATGTATGTATATGTAATGGCATTTTTATACGTAATAAAGTCTGTCTACTTGAAGCTGCTTCTGCTCCCAGTTACACAAGCAAATTTCTCCCCCATCAGCCTTGTGGCATGGTGATTTAAGTGAGCTAGAATAGGTATCTTATCAAAAGCTGCGTAACTTGAGTGGGTATATGGGGTGTCTCTAGCAGATGCCAGCTATAGGGACATATAAAAAACAGGTGCTTCCATTGTTAGTATCCAGCATAGCAAGTTCCTTTCTGAGAAAAGGTATTTAATGGCAGCATTGATGAAGAGCTCGCCTTTTTCACAATAGCCTCTTAGCTGCTTGGGTTGTAGGAGATGCGGTTCTTAGCTCTCTTCAGCCTGATGGAGTTTGTCAGAAGAATCCAGCACCTCTGATAGTATGCCGTTCTCCACCTGTGATATCAAAAAACCCCAGCTATAAAATTGAAAGGAGTAGATAAAATAAGCAACCAGGTGCCTGACAGATAAAAATACCCTCTTCACGGCAGATGTTCTTGGCACTGTTTCCTGCTCCCATTATTGCAATTAATTTCACCTCCAATGACTTTTAAATGCAAAATATGGAGGCAGTCCCTGATTTGGAACCTAAGATTCCCCTCTTACGTGAGTAGCCATAGCACTGAATACAATTAAGGAGTGCCTACTCTGAAACATATAAAAAGAGAAAAGCCTCTCTGCTTGTGCTGTATGCTAGATCTCAGTTAACTCTGGTCTGTCCTCGCTGCTCTGTCTCTTTGTTGTTTATAACATTGAGTTCAGGGAAGTTCATGATACAGTTCACACCCACCTCTACACTGTAAATGAAAACATGAAAATTAATTCTACAGAAAACAACAGAAGGACAGCAAATCCAGCCTACATAATAAGAAAAATAATGATACAGCAAGGAGGGAAGACACTCATGGTGTGTTTCCACTTCTTTGAAGATAAGCTTTCTATTTCTACACTTAAGTGCATAACTAGTTGTCTGAATAACCTTCACACAATATTATTCCCTCAGCACCCTGTTATCTGTACCAGACACACTCATCCAGCCTGCCCAAGAGCTAATCTTTCAAATACAGCTCTTTAAGTTGATTTAATTGAAATGATTTGTAAAAAGAAACATCAGAGCTGAACACAATTGTTTCCAAAATTGTAAGGCATACCCTCCTGCAGGAGTAGGGAGAAACTCAGAGGTATATGGGAGGTGCTTGGGAGACAGAAATAATTTTGTAGCAGGTCAGTGGTATAGATGCTAAACTGAGCCAGGTTTTAAGGTCAAAACACTTCTGTTTTTTAGTCATACACAGAGTCTGTATTCATCTCCCACTGAGGCCAATACTCAGTGGAGAACAAAATAGCTACAGCAGCATCCTGAAGCCGTTTAAATGGGGTTGGCAGGCCAACAGGTTTTTTAAGTGTTGTCCTTTAAAAGAGCCAAGCTTCTTATGATTATCCGGAGATTTTTTGGAAACACTTGTTTAAATATCAGAATATTTAATTCCTCTAAACAAAAATGTCACCTGACAGTTACTAAATGAATTCCTGTTGCATGTCTTTTCCTTTTAACAATGTTCTGTGTTTCATCAGTTATGTTTGTTTTACAGGTTGATACTGGAAACATAGGACATCTCTACAAAATACGCATAGGACATACGAATGCAGGAAACTCCCCTGCCTGGCACTGTGAAGAGGTAAAAGCAGTGAGAAAGAATTTTATCTTTCCAAAAGCAGTCACTATGACAGTGGAGTCAAAATACAAGTCAGAAAAAATCCCTGGGATAAGTATATTAACTTCATCAAGTGCTTGCAGCTTGATTTAAGATATTATGAAGGAGTGTTTTTGTGTGGAATTAAAAGTAGTTTACAATGGTATGTCTTGGCTGTTTGTTTGCAGTTTAGTGAGAGCTGTACATCATGTTTCTTTAAAAATGTGTGGCTGGGCAGCAAGAAAGACTGCTTAAATTGGCTGCTGTAGTCTGAGTCTTCTGCAGTCTTTGTGTGCTACAGAGTGTCTAGAGTTTGCTGAAACTCAGAAAGGCATTGAACTCAGCCTAGCGAAGTCCTCCTCAAATCTGTGTAGCTGCTGCTGGGTCCTTAGGCACAGCACCAGAGCTACATTGCAAATGTTTCTAGTTCTGTGCCTCTGAGGAGAAAAAGACAATAACAGGTTCTTTTCCCTCCTTATTTAAAAAAGATAAAGCAAAGATAATAAAGCAAAAAGAATTAGCTAGTTCTGTTTCAAGCTTCAGTTGTGAAGCATAGTATATAGGTTTCTGGACTGGGAATGAAAGGATCTGGCTTTTATCCTTAACATCGGTGATGTATTATGTGTGCCAATTATATGCTATGCATGCCTGAAACACTTTCCTCTTTGTGCCAGAGTTTCTTATCCTTCAGTTAAGAGACAGCAGTTTATGAAGGGCTTTAGAAGCTGCTGGTAAACTCATTGTTATAATCGTACTTCAAGGTAAATCTAGATCTAATGCAAAGTGTCCACTGAAGTTAAATATTCACTGGTCAATGTTCAAACTCTGTGGCCATTTGATCCTTTAACTAGTTGTTTTCATCTGGGCCTGAGACTCAGAAAGAAGACTGAGTAAGGTCTGGGCAGTGTTAGCTGAAGTTTAGGCAAGATCCTGTGAGTTCATACCTCTAGCCAATGCATGTCTACATTGAAATACTGTGTCACTGGTAGCATCACTCTAAGAGATTTCATACTAGAATTATAGGGATTATATCTCTTTCAATTCAGGTGAGGATTGCCTGGTTGTAAAGCCTAGGTATTTGTTTTCCAGCTGTGCTGTGTTTTGGGGAATGCTGGAGTCAGAATATAATTTAAGATACTTTTTTTCTTCTGTTCCTTGCTATTTTTCTTTTCATAAATGTGTGTGTGGAAGCAGTGAAAGGGTGGAAAACACCTCATAGCTTTGTCCTGTGAGACAGAGGGACAGATTACCAGCAATTTCTAAAGTGTATCTGAGTTGAGAAGCTAGAAGAGAACAGTGGGTTTTCTCTTATAGAAAAGCGTCATTTGTATGCTTAATCTTGGTATTAGAAGTTTTGGTTATCATAAAATCTGACTCAGCAAATGGACCTTTGCAGGTTTGTTGTACGCCATCCTCTGTGAATAGAGGCCGCACTGCCTGCTTTGTATAAGACACCCATTTAAATTGAGAGATTGAAGAAGTCTAACAAAAAAAGGAAAGAAAAAATGAGAAGTTATTATTCCCCTTCTCACTTCTCAGCTAGCATATATTAATTGAAATCAACAGTAGAATTTTAAAAGAAGGATTCAACACTTCAGTGTGTTCCATTGATTATTGATTTACAAATTTTAATTGTCTCCTTACCAAATCTCGGGGTGAGCGAGCGGCTTTGTGGTGTTTAGTTGCTGGCTAGGGTTAAACTATGACACAGTTAACCAGGCATAGTTTTTAGGAAGTGATTCATCAGCCAGGCTTAGGTCATTCCCTCTTTGCAACTTTGGGCAGAAAGTCAAAGAAAAGAAATACATTCAACCAAACACAAATCTACAAGTAACCTAGTGTTTTGTATGGTAGAGAGCCAAAGGAGTATAGCCACTGATTTCTAGACTTCGTAGAAGAGAGACAACATACAGCAGGCTCATCAGATGCTTAACATCCTTGTTCCTTGGGAAACCTACATTTTTCTGGAAGAACTGAAATTAAGAGAGTGCTCTACAACTGCAGAGCTTTTCTGGTAGTTAAGCATGTTAGTCCTCCATCAGTATCCCATGGTTTCTGTGTCTATCTCTGTACTGAGATGGTATCAAGCCTGAAAATGTCCACATTTTGTCCACAATGCCACTTCACTAAACCAAGCTCCCTTTTCAAGATCCATCAGTAGATGTTGACAGGCTGAAATGTGCCAGATTTTTCAGACAAGATGAATCTCTTTCTTTAAAGTTTAGTATTCAAGCAATACAAGAGATAAAAAATGTTTTCAGTAATTCTGAATTTGTTCAATGTTCGAATTAAGGAGATTAGGTTTTGCAAAGCACAGAGCAGGAGTGAAACTACAGGTAGAAGTGTCTTTGCTTCTCTCTGCTGATCAAAAATCTAGTGTAGTTACTAGTATAAATTAGCATAATCAGGGACTCTTCTAATATACAGCAGCCTCTGAGGTGCTTACTAAGGAATACTTTGAAGTACAAAATAACTAGACCTCCTTCCCTTCTTCAGGTGGTGTACATATGGTCCTTTTGCTGCTATATGCTAGAAGTTGGGCATGGAAGAAAATTGTGTGGGGCAGACTGGTGTTGGGGCTAGCACTTTCATGGTTTGAAGAATCAAAAGCTGTTCCTTTAATTCCTGTTCTGATAAGAAAATAAGTTAAAGGAATAGAACTGCAAGCATTGCCAAGCTTCCCAGTGAGAACTTTGGTGTTTGGTAAGCCATGCAACCTAGTGCCAGCCCACGTGGATATACCAGCTGGAACAACAGAGCTATATTTTGTGGGACTGCACCTGAGCTGATAAACCCTGTTTCTTGGCTGCACTTGAGTTACTCTGCCCTGCACTTTTGAATTTGACTGAATGAAAAGTCAGATTGGGGGCAGTTGTATCCAGGAAGCAGACATGCCCCAAACACATGGTTTTGTGATCGTGCCACAGAGCTCTACCTGCACAGATTTCAACAGCATCCCACACATTTTGTGTTCTGTTCTATCATCTGGACTGAGATCAGCAACTTAAATTGCAATTCTTGGTGCTGTTTAGGTGCAGTTGCTGAACCTTTTCTCAGGGGAGCAGTTTTCTTTCCCTGCACATCGATGGCTGGCCTGGGACCAGGCTGATGGGGAAATATCTATGGAGCTTCCTGTTTTACAGCATGGTCAGCCTATTCTTCCAGGTAAGCACAATACCACATCAGCTAAGTCAGGCCACACTGATGCCAATAGAGGTGAGTTCATTGTTTTTCATCAGGCCCTCTATTACTTTTTGGCTGCTACAACACTTTTTTCTGTGTTGTTTTCCTGTGGTTACTGGGCATACTCAGGTAAGAATCACTGGAAAGGAGATAGGAGAGTCTTTAATGCTTTGAATTTCACAGGTCCTTCAAAAAGACTCCTTCTTTGGTAAGATTTTTAGCATTTGTGTTTGCTTTAAAATAGAGGCAATAGTAAAGACACCTCATATATTCATAACTACCATGAAGCCATCATACATGAGTCAGATCACAAACTCTATTTTCAATAAATGAGAATTATAGCTCCAGTATGACTATTGTAGCTGCTGTTTTAGTTTCTTTCTTGTAAGTGGCTGAGACAGACTTCCAGAAAAATTTTAATTTCTGGGTGTGGAACAAAACTTTAGCAACATTTCAGAAGTATTAAAAGCTCCATTACTCACATAAAGATTGTATTGCAATTCTAAAGGTGAATGATGCCAAACAATGCAAAAATTATTGGGTGTTGCTGCTTTTATACTGTTTTAATGTCCTGCTCTACCACACCAATCCCTGTCACCCATGCTGGATGTTGTTGCTATATGGTCTCTCTGCTTCAGCAATGGGAAGGGGGTGGAAAGTCTGTGCTTGCTCTTCCCTTCTCTCCGAATGACATCGTTCTTTTCTGGCCTAAGGAAAGTACAAGGGCATAACAAGATCAGTGTATCCGAGGAGAGACGTGGGTGAGGGAGCAAGAATGCTTGGGCAGATTCCCATCCTGTAGGGTGTGATGGTAGAGTGGGAAAGTCATAACACCACCAGTATTACTTGTGCTGGAGCTTTCACTAGAGTAAGGTCCACCTGGGACAGATTCCACGTCCTCCTCTCTTCCCTTCTCCAAAAAATCATATCAACTGCAGAGGACAAGATTAATGGGATGAGAGAAACTTCCATCCAAAGTTCTCTAAAAACTACAGAACCCCTTTTTCAGAAGATTTAATACTATAGCAATACTTGGTGGTATGCTTATGGTACTTTGTGTTGATCTTGCAAAATTGAAATTGTAACAGGCATTTCAATAGTAACAGCTGTTGTGGGTGCAGGCTAGTGGAAGAGGATATAAATGAAATTGAGGGGCAGAAGTCCAGAAAATGGCCCATAGATATGGGGAAACATACCATGGGACGGTCACTCTTGTAATAAAGAGCTGGGTGGCCTGGAGCTGTATTTATGTCTATCTATGATGACTGAGCACTGAGATTAAGAGCCTGAAAAGAAGAGCAGAAAACCAGGTTTGTGCCTCATTAATATGTCTTTAAGAGAAAAAGAATAGCAGGAGAGATTTTCTTCGGTGATGAAGTTAGCAGCTGTAAATGGCTCATAAAATACTCTAGAGAGAGTCTGGCCAGCCCTATCCACAATGATTTTTAATCTTGAATGATTATGATCCTCATACCCTTGAGGGCATGAAAAGCCTCAGAGGCAGTCAGCCTGCTTCCTCATAGGTTTGGTCTCTTTGGTCAGGAGACTTTAGTATTATTAGTGTAGGGGGACATACAAGCACATTGGTATAAAAACCAAAAACACCCCCACACCCACTTTAAATACATGTTAATTAATGATCATTGACATGTTATATTGAATATGCTCCAATCCCCTACTTGCAGTATCTGTTCTGCCCCAAATGTTCTCTTGCTTAGTATTCTGGGTCACTGACCTTACCCACCTTCTGATTTTCAGGCTCTTCTTTCTGAGTAGGTTGTTTCCTTGCTTCTGAGATAAAGATACAATGAAAGATTTTTATTACAAAGTAATCTTGGTGCATCGTCAAGTACAACAGCACACTTAAACCATCCCCTCAATCTGCATTTTGTAGTTAACAATTTCTCCCTCACACAAGTGAGGAAAAAAAGAACTTCTGTGCATTTCTGCCAGCCTTGGTATAAGAGGGGTCATGCTGAAGGCTTTGGAGAAGGCAGTTTCATCTCTAACTTAGTAATTGAAAGACAGACTCTGTGTCTTTTTGCCAATATTATATTTCTGCATGAGACAGTGAAAAGAGAACATAGCTTTTAACTTCAGAGAAGATAGTTTGATAACAGAATAGTGAAGAGGTCTGGATTCAATCTGAAAGAGAGCTGATGAGAGGCAGTTTAAAATGAATTTCTGAATAAAAAGAGGCTGAAACACTTTCTGATTTAACAGCCTTTTTTATTCAAAGGAAAAACTTCTGAATTAAACTGTTAAGAAATATTACATAGAGACTTTGTGGCTCTAATGCTGGGGGACTGAGTACCATTCCTTTGAGTTTTTATCCTCAACCATCCTACTTTTGTCCCCTTCTGATCACGTTTTATGACGCAATCTTTAATTATATGATGATGAACTACTTGCTGGGGATAAATCAGAGTTACGGAGTGTTTGGTGGCTGGTGGGTCTTCGCTATTCTTCTTGCAGAAACTGGAAAGTAGGTAGTTAATGAAGGAGGGAATTGTAGGAATAGAGTGGATTGTTGTGGTCTTAGACATGGGATTGTTGGTCTGGAGAAATGAATTCACTGCCTCTGCCATGGTCTGTTCATGGGGTACCTGTTCATGTGGGTGCTGTAAAGAAAAATTTGGGGAAGTAAATGGTTCAGGTGGTGACATGGTAAACAATGTGGGTGAAATATGGTATTAATTAACAGTTCTTAAATGAAAACTATTTTGAGTATTGAGACAGGTGTACTCTGGGAAAAAATAGTACTTGACTATGCTGCTAACTAAAGACTGTCAAAAGCTTCTGTGCCTTAAACGTGGCTGGCTTTTGTCCAAATAATAATAACTGATCTGGAAAAAGATATGTGTTTTACCTCCTTGCTCTATTTCCCGTAATTCATAGGCACAGGGGAAAGAATTAAATTTTGTAAATAATTTTAACCCTTACACTTTCTAATTTCAGAATGATGTGCTTACAAATGTAATGTTCTACGCTTACAGACAAAAATAGATATAAAGAATACAGTTCCTTCTCCTAATTTCTGTTCTGCACACTTTTCCATGGAATATCTAAAGGAAAGAATCATAGAATCATGGAACAACTCAAGTTGAAAGGGACCCATAAGGACCATCAAGTCCAACTCCCCGCTCCTTGCAGGACTACCTAAAACTAAACCATATGACTGAGAGCGTTGTCCAGATTCTCCTTGAACTCTGACAGGCTTGGTACTGTGACCACTTCATAGAATCATACAATCATAGAATCATAGAATCGTTTAGGTTGGAAAAGACCTTTAAGATCACCAAGTCCAACCGTTAACCTAGCACTGCCAAGTCCGCCACTAAACCATGTCCCTAAGCACCATATCTACACATCTTTTAAGCCTGTTCCAATGCTTGACAACCCTTTCAGTGAAGAAATTTTTCCTAATGTCCAATCTAAACCTCCCCTGGTGCAAGTTGAGGCCATTTCCTCTCGTCCTATCGCTAGTTACTTGGGAGAAGAGAACAACCCCCACCTCGCTACAACCTCCTTTCAGGTAGTTGTAGAGCGCGATGAGGTCTCCCCTCAGCCTCTTCCAGGTCCCTCTGCAGAGCCTTCCTACCCTCAAGCAGATCAACACTGTCCCCAACTTCCCTGGGGAGCTTGTTCCAGTGACCCACTACCTTTTCAGTGCAGAACCTTTTCCTAATGTCCAATCTGAACTTCCCCTGATGTAGCTTCATTCCATTAAGAGAGTCACTATTTCCTAGGATAAAAGCTGTAAGCATTATAAATACTCATAAAATACTTATTATAAAGCTGGTATGATTCCTAGGCTTATGAGAGGTAGAGAGAACTGTAAAAAATTGTGAAAAGTGCTTGAATTTTTAAGTTAGTTATTTTAAGCCTCTATGCTGGGTTTATCAATAGCATATGTCTACAGCACAATACTTCAGTGGAGTTTAGAGGTACCCAGTCATCATCTCAAAATGAGTTAGCTCTGATGCTGGAAGCAAACTAGCACTAGCACTCTATGTGGGCACATTAAAATAACCTGTGCAAGGTGCTTACTGTTTTAGCTAGATTGTTACCATTATCCAAACTGAATTCTTTAAAGACAGCTTGTATAGTAACCTGCATACAAACGCCATGTTAATAAATGTGAGATAATCATAAAAAAAAAAAGCATGAAGGGAAAAGTTGTAAACATTGAACGGCCACTTAGCAGATATGGACTGATCGTGAATAAATTTTCACTGGTTATTAAAGAGAGGTGTTTGTCCATCAGAAGAGTGAGATGTGGGAGCAACCTCCTGCAGAGGATTACAGTCAAGCTTCATAACATATTTCAGGTGGAAACTGATAATTGAATGATGGTAATGTTGATTTTGTTCCGGACCCAATGGTCCAGAAACTCTTTTCTACTTGCAAGACAGAGAAGCACAAGGACACTTACGTCTAGAAGAAGAGCTTGTGTTCCAGAAAATGAGGTTTTCTCTCCCCCTTTCGTTCTCTCTGTACCTCACTTGGTCTAACAAAATATTGTTACTGATGTTGGCATAAACTTTGCCTTTCCCATGTTTCTACTGAAGATTATAATTGCATGCTTTTATCTTAATTCTGAATTTTATGGGGTTCCTACATCTGCATTTTAATGACCACAGTTCTCTATTGATACATATTTTAATGTATCATAGTCTTTATTCCAGTTTCATTGGATTTAATTGTATTTGCATTATCAATTTCTATTAAATAACCAATCTATTGAATTTAAGTCCTAAGTTTTTCCTCCCAAATTTACAGCCTTTAAAGAAGTTCCATATGGAATGTAATAAAGGAAGAGAGTTCTGGTGAATGGAGTTAAACCC